CGACGCCCTGTGCAAGCGGCGAGACCTTGCCAGATCACAGGAGAAAGCAGGGACGGGCTTTTCTGCCTTGTCCGGCACTGAATGCGTATTTACCAATCCCTGCCCGTGCCATGTATATTCAAGTCCTAACAGGGAAACACGAGGCCGATTAGTGTATGGGGGTGAAAACAGGATGAAGCTCATTTCTTTAGCATAAATATTTATAGTGCAAAAGAACAAAGAAGTTCAGAGAGAGCTTGGTCAGCCCACGGTAGAGCTGGGTGCAGCGCGAGGAACTTCTTGTTTTTAATGAAGGTCCTTTGAGGAGGACCTGGATGACTGTAGCAGAAAGGCCCTGCAATCAGAGCGTGCTAATGTCACGAAGGTCCCCATGGAGAGACAGGCTGCCTCCCTGCGGATCCCCAAAACAACTTGTTTCTCTTGGCTTTATTTAAAACCAGCTGTGCGTTGGGCACGCAGACTCCGTTTTCAATTAAATTAGCTGCAGTGGTACAGAGATGAGAATAGCCCTTCTTCTCTTGGCTCTGGTGGAAGTTCAGCAGCTCAGCGGCCTCTTGGAAAAATGGCCCAGTACGAGCCAATTTACTAGCAAGAGGCGTAACATAAAATGCACAGGATTTATGCTGACTGCAGCAGTGGGTGCTTTTAAGAGGGACTGTTCTCACTCCACCTCCTGCAAGCGAGTGCTTTTGGGTACTGTCAAACAAACAAGCCAAAAAACTATGACCTCGATCTTTTTTTAAGCCTTTCCCTTTTCTTACAGGGAGGCAACTGGTGCTCCACAAACCAGTTTCAAAGGCTGGTGCTTATCAGGTTACCAGTTTGTGCAGCAGCCCCCCACTAGCTCCAGCCACAGTAGCGCCGGAGCCGTGGAAACAACGGCTCTGAAGTTTGGTTTTGCTTTTCAGTTCAGAAATGCAGGAGCACGGCCTTGCAAGCTGCTGCATGCCCCCGGACCTCCTCCTGACAACCCTCGCTGGCAGAGGACAGGAAACCTCTCCGGTCTGAGACAACACGTGGAAGTACCCGTTCTAGCTGACAAAAGGCGGGGACCAGAAAGGATGTGACCCTCAAGCAGCAGATGCAATCTGGTGCTGAGCTCTGCCCAATGTCTTGAGAATACAAGCTGCCGTGCAGTCAAGCCCATCGTTCAGTTACAGGCACCTGGGCAGCGGGCGAAGGCCCCAGGAGGGAAGCAGAAGTTCAAATGAGATGTAAGGCTCTTTCTTGGGGAGGTTGGGAGCGGAGTCAGCGCTGTCATGCCACGCCAGGCACCTGCATATCCGTCTCCCAAGCACCTCTGGAAACCTTGCTTGACCCTGCCGGTGTCACCGAGGGCTCAGCAAAGAAACAAAGGTAGAATCAAGTGTCTCTTTGCTCGAGGCCAGAGAGACAGTCAGCGCTGGGCCAAGATCAGAGCGTGGGCGTTTTCCTGCCCATAACCTCCTCTTCTGGCCTCACCTCTCGTGAAGGCAAGCGCAGCACACAGCGATGGAAAAACAAGCTTCGAAAGGCACAGCCTGTTCCCACCCAGGCTGTGTGGGTTCTCGTCGCTTTGCATAGGGCTTGCAAAAGGACTTGGTGATGGTCTGACTTAGTGTTAATTCGCCAACTTAAAAGGCTCTTCTGCTTTTTTGTGGTTGGCACCCCAGAACATGTCAGCCTTTTCTCCGCGCTCCCCTGCCATCTTCCCCAATTGCCATGCAGTTTTTAAAATAGACGGCGCTTCGGTGCTTACCGTGTTTCACTTGCTTTAATGTAGATGCAACCTGATAGCTGAAGACAGACTCACAGAGGAATCTTTCGGAGCCATCTGTAAACAGAAAAAGGGAGGTGGTTTAATCTGAGAGTTTTAAGACTGAGAAGCCTCAACTGAGTGCCGCCGACCTTCTATTTTTATGTTTGAGGTGTGGGTTTCCCCACTTGCCTATTCTGACAGTTGCCCCTGCGCTGAGCATGCAGTGCTCCCGTTTCTGGCCTGTACAGCCCCGCACTCAAATCCCGCATGGAGCTTTGGCTCCCGGTGCCACCAGGGAGTGTCTGTGCTACCTGCGAGCCATCCTGGCTGATATTCTGTTACATCCCCTCTGTCAAGCAATTTTCGTCCATTTTAAATAGAAGGTAAGCTAAGGAGAAGCCAGCTAATATTATGGCAGTCTCAGATTCCCTCGGGGCTCAGACGCTTGTGTCCTTATAATGCTTTAAGATTTCCCACAGGCTTAGACCATAACCCTGCATAAAGGATTTCAAATAATGTGTATTTTGCCATCCAAGTCAGTAATTGATCGCACAACTGTCTTAGAAATAAATCAATCTGGAATACATAGCTAATCGTGTGCCAGGTACTGACACAGTTTATACTACTTCCTTCTAAAAAAAGCCCACAAAACCTAATGGTTTATTTAAAAACAAGTGAGATGAGATAGATAGTTAAAGCAACAATAAAAATCAGTCAGTTAGTGGGGATTTTTGAAGGGGAAACTGGTATGCAGCTACCCCACTAGTACCTGCCTGATGAAAGAACGGATGTATCACCTTTCATCTCAGAAATTAAAAAGCTAACTTAAAGTTTCTTGCAACAGGGAGAGTGTTTAGTTTTTGCTGCCACCCAGAGCAGACAAACTGCCGTGTTACTGGTAAAGAGGTCAGCCCAAAGCAAAATGAAGTAAAAGCTCCATGTGTAAAAATGAGCAAGAGAAGCAATTTCAAGGACTAAGGGTAGTAACAGGCCCCTGGCCCTGGGAAATCTAATCCAAAGCTGAACCCCAGTAAGAGTTGGAGTTTTGCTGTGCTCTGAGCACCCTCTTGTAAGCTGTTGAAATGCTGTGTTAGTGCTACCCCGTGCTATTTCCAAACACACCCTTCCCTCTCCTCTGACTCCCCAGCCTGGCAGTCCTGCCCGAGTGGCTCTCAGCAGGGACAGCTCTCCGTCTATCTGGTAACACAAAGTGCTTCATTATTTTAATTTGTTTTGAGGGCTCGTTAAATTCTATGAGCAAGCCTTTAGTCATAATTACTTCAATAGACTGGCATATGGGCTCTAATCTGTAATAAAAACAGTCCTTAAACGACGTAGCAATCAGTTCCCAGCTGCCCTGCGCTGCCGTGTTCGTCTCTACCAGAACGCAGTCACTTCTGAGCTGCAGGGCCACCCCAGTGAACTTCAGGCTCATGCAGTCAAACATGCGGCATGGTGACACGGGAAGTTCAAGAGGAGCAGACAGACAGAGAGACCTTGGTTTAACCCTGTCATCTGGAGGACCTGCCCTTCCTCCTCACCCAGAGCAGAGGCAGGGACGTGCAGCTGCGACGTGCCTGGGTCCTCCTGCAGGCAAGCCTGATGAAGTGGGTGGCACGGCTCAGGCACCCAAACACAAGACGCCACGCTGGATCAGAGCCCCAACCCTCTCCAAGTCACCCTGGAGAAACGCCCCGACAAGAGTAAGCCCAAAAGGGGAACGTGCTCAGCCTTGAAGGATTAAAAGAGAGGTCTAGTCCTGATTTATCCTCTTGCAGACCTGTGCGGTGAGGTTTTATCTTGGGTCAAGGGCAAAAGCAAGCCTTACGTTTCCTGGCCAGCAGGGATACAAGCTGCCTCCTGTACTAGGCCAGTCAAATCCAATCCCAGAATGCGTTTTGCCAAGAAAAATACTCCTGCCTCAGCTATCTTTACAGTAATTCCTGCTCAACATCAAAGGATTAACTAACAATGAGCAATTAACACTGTCATGTTCCCTTTCAGGTAGATCACTTCCTCGTCTGAAGTGTTGTCATGGAGCTAAAACAGGTGACTGCCAGAAGAATCACTTCCTCATGAACAAGTGGTGGGAGAGCTGGGGCTGCTTGGGATCTACCCAAGCCCTGGTGCTTCCTTCCTCCCTCCAGCTTTTGCCAGCACAAGTCCAAAAAGGCAGCAAGGTGACAAACTTGGCAACTCCCTTGCAGGGCTGCCTGTGCACCAGGAGGAGCAGGAAGGAGAAGGGCAGGAGCAATCACCTTCCAGCATCTCCCCAGCTCCTTTGGGGTAAGTGAAGAGGGCTTTTCGGGGCGGCGCCAGGTCCGAAACGCTGAACCCTGATCCTGTTACAGAGCTGCCACTGACTCCGCCGGCTGAAGAGGATGAGGAAGAGGCTGCCATTTCACCCCGTCCCAGCCTGCAAGAACAAAAAGGGAGCAGAGCGGAGTTAGGAAGGGCGTCTCGGAGTTTCCCAGGGCACAAAGCCAGTGACCGCACACATATCTGACGGCAGATGAAGGCGGCAAGATCCAGGAAGAGCCAGCAAGCGCAGCTTTGGGCGGCCACCCCTGTTCCATGGCTCCGCAGCCTCAAAGCGCTTGTGGTTCAAGGCTGCCCTGCATGCGTGGGAGAGGCTGCCTGCTCCTGCTGCCCGCATCCGCTGCCGGGATGGGTGCAGTTAGCCGTCACGCCACGCGGTGGCATCCAGAAACTGGAGGTAACCCACGCTCTGACCCCTCGGACACGGGGGCCTGGGAATTCAGCGGGACGATTGGAACGTGCATTAAAATAACCTGGCACAGGTTGCTGGCCTGAATTCACTGGCCTTCAGCTGTCTGGCACTTTTCCCGCTCCCTAGGGCCATAAAAAGACCTTTTTTTTTTTTTCTCCCCCCTCCCTCTTTTTGCCTTGTTTCCAGGAGCACAAACATGGAAAAAGTGCATCTGCCTCATAAAACCTGGAAGCCCACAGGACTGCCAGTTCCAGTGCCGCATCCTGCGCAAAGCCACGCTGCGCCTAATTTGCAGCAACTGCTCTCTGCGCTGTTCCAGATGTGCTTTGCTTTTAAAATACTGCATTTGACCTAAAACAGCAAGGGCTGAGCATCCGTTTGCCTGTACGGCACACGGCCGGCCGCCTCTTGTGTACCCTTTTCTCAGCCCTGTTTTTAAGAGGTATTGGCTGTACATTTGTCATGATAGAGTACTTAAAATTTGTCACATACCTGCTGCTAGTAAAAAAAGCTGTCACTTGGCACTTAAAAATGACAGCAGTTGCTACTCCTCCAAACCACTTATAACCACTTCCCAATTATCCTGCCCATTTAATAGGTATCTATTATCCCACCTATTTAATACAGTTCTACAGACTCTCTAGGCTATGCAGACGGCGCCTTTGGAAAGCACTCGAGGTTTTAGCGGAGAAAATGGGTTTCTGAAAGGCTGTCACAACTAGGAATGGCGTCTTCATTCACAGTTAAGCTCAAGGTGGTTTCATTTACTGCGGATAATGCAAAACAGCAGCTTGCAGGAGGCTGGGGGCTTACAGGCTGTGAAGAAAAATGCTTGGATAAAAGAAACCTTTAATACGGCAACACTTTCTTCAAACCTGGGCAGGCCCAGCTCATGGGGGGAACGAGATGCTGTGTTGCGTCAAAATAACGCCAGCCGAGGCCCGCAAGCCTGGCGGGCTCCTAGATTACAGCAGCAGGCTCTCTATTTTAAATAGGCTGAGGCAAACACAAAGTAGGGCCCGGGACGACGCCCACACCTCCGTCGCCTCAGGCCTGGAGCGCCGGCCATCTCAGGAGGAGGGGGGAGCGGTGGCGTTGTCGGCACTGC